GGTCTATGGGAAATGTCCAACCTTTACTCTGGGCAGCTGCTGAGGAGTATAGGAATAGCTCAGGTGGTGTGCAGCTGGCCCTCAATTGGAGCCAAGGCCTGCTAGCCACCAGCCATTTTATCTCCAGCCAGCAGGGAAGCTGCACTCCATCAAACTGCAGGGGTCTCTTCAGCCCAGCATCGTCCTCTGCCATAATTCTTCATGTCTCCATCATTGCTCACATAAATATCCAGGGTCACTACACCTTCAAGACCTCCCAGGACTCTACACATGTTAAAAAGTGTGCTGGCAAATGCCCTGTGGGTCATTCCTGACCACATATATTGACCTAAGAGTTATCACCACTCTCAATCACAGCAAACAATAAACAACTCAAAATAAACAACATCCAAACAGATTTTGATCCCGCCATAACGAAAGCCCACTTTCAGATACCACTTTCTGTTGCTGCTGGTGGTATTACAAGAATGTGAGCAATTTTTTTCATACTGACCAGCAACTATTCAGAAGTATTGGCAAAGACAGATTATTATAAGGAGAATATATCCAAATGCCAAACACACATATTCCAGATTTTGCAGCTATTAAACTGTGCATGCCCATTATGCATGCCCATTGGCCTAATTCATTTCCTAGCTCTAAATTTCATGGTGGTTTTTTTTTCAATCCAGTGTTTTGCAAAATATGTGGGAATGGAATAAATAAATAATGTATCCCAATTTCTGTCTGCTGCCCTTCCAAATACTGGTGTTTTCAATAATGTTACCTCTTGGTTATGGCCTTAGAGATAATGTCCCTTTTTGCAAATAAGCTTTTTTACCAAAAAGATAAATATGGTTGTTTTAAATGCACACTCAGGAGATTGTAAGGTTTATCCATGATATGTTCAAAGGTCTTTGAGTTATAGTAATTTTGCTGTTACTCTTAACAGGTTACATAACTCTAGGGTAAGCAGACTCAATTAAAAGATGATAGTTCAATCTAAAACTGTTTTCTGACAAAAGAAAGAAATACTTTAAAAAGATTGGGAAGGATGATGATCAGAAGCAAAATAAGCTTCTTGCATAACATGTCAAATGAATATTACATGATGCCAGAAATGTGCAATGAGGTTCCTTCTAGTTATATGGAAGACAAAATATTGGAAAATTAAACTTCTAAATTTGACATAAAACAGGGAAATGGAGGGGGCAGGAAAGGCAAATACTTTTTGAGCACTTATTTATGAATGAAAATGGAAATACTATGGACTCTCTACTATAGTCCATCATCATCACCACCCCCTAAAATCTTGATTCTGGGATACGAAACGGCATACCCTTCCTCAAAAAGCTCTCTGCCAGTAGAGTTTGGGCTGTATTCTGTACTTGGCTGGACAAGTTAAATCCCATGTAATGAGGCTTAACCCCCGCACTGAGCCTCAGAGAATCTGGGCAGGGGGCCAACCAGCTAGGCCCGTATCCCTGGGGAGCGGGGAGCAGGATTAGCGCAAGCACCATCCCCTTCGCCATCCCTCCCCCATCCCCGGAGGAGTGGCAGAATCAGCAGCTGTTGCAGCCAAAATTGCTGGAAACCAACCCTCTCCTTAGGCGCTCTCCCTCGCTCCTTTTCTCTCACACATTCTGTGCCAATTTCAGTTCCCCGAGGCTTCGGTTACGCTGGCTCGGGTCTCTGGTCTGGAGCCAAGCGCCTCCAGTCAGCGCTAGAGGAAACACTCGAGTATCGGCAACGCCCTCTGTGTGCGTACAGGTAACACACGCCCACGATGGCCACCTTTGCGGCGCGGCTTGAACGCTCCTCGCCTACATCTCTCTCCCACGTCCACCTGGTCAGTCTGCGCCTTTCCCTGTTTCCAGTCCGGCCTCCGCTGACCTCACTGTGGGAACAATCGGTCTGATGAAGCTCCGCCTGTCTTTCTGAAGGCTGGGGAGACGTCGAGGTGAAAATTACAGTTGTTGTCACGAAGGCCACGTGTGCATATTTGCTCAGCGTTTTGCCGGTGATTCTCCAGGCGCCCTCCAAGCGAGCTAGGTCTGGAGAGAGTCTCCTAAGCCAACCAGCGATGTCAGTTGGCCGCATCCGAAGCAGGGGGAGTCGGTCCCGCTGAATTTCACAGACCAATTCGTCTGAATCCAGTCGGCTGCGTTCAGGCTGGAAAAGATAGTGAAGCAGCCTTTCCCAGTCTGACGCTGTCCAAAATATTGGACCAGCTCTTTTTATTTGTAGCCAGCGGAGTCCAACAGCCAACATTTCTGAGAGACACCAAGCGGATGATGTCTGGTGAATAGTACAATATTGCAGCCAGCTTTCTGGTTCTGAAGAATAGCACTTCCATCGCAGCAATCATAATTTGATTCAACATTTATATTAAAATTGCATTTCTATTTTATAACTCTCCTTCCCAGTTCTTTCATGAACAACTGGAACAGATTCAAATATGTCTACCCAAGACTTGTGGGTTGCTGTATGACTAAAGAACTAAGCCAACGTTTCCCAAACTTGGCAACTTTAAAAGGTGTAGACTTCAATTCCCAGAATTCCCAGCCAGTAGCCAATTCATTACAACAAATCATATTATACAGTTGACACACAGGCTGAAGTTAACGCTAACTGTAAACATTGATACATTTCCCTAACTTCCTTGTTTTAACCTCTTCACAAGCAAAGACTTTGTGTGTTATTTAATGTATCAAGAGATAAAACCATCCTGACTATATATCCAGGAAAGTATTCAAATGAAATGTTGTATTTACTCAAAATACTAAAACAAAAGCAGCTGAACTGCATTATAATTTAGGCTATTTATTTCTATACCATCCACTCTTCTAATGGTTTTCTGTGGGTTATTAAGTACAGTATCATTAATATGTACTATTATTAATAATAGAGATGGAAAACAGAAAAGCTAAGACAGTGGTCTTAAAAGGCTTCAGAGAATAATTTTTTTGAGTAAGAGGGCTTGCTTCATTGTCTGAGCAATATAATTGTCGTAGAAGTCTATAATATGTAATAAAATCAAAGTCATGAATTTGAGATGGACAGTCATATACATTGAAATATGAAATTTAAATAAATAAAGGCTCAACCATGGCAAAGCTGGAAGAGTTGTCAAATGGACTGATAGGAACTAATGCTTTATGTTCGGGATAGGCTGCAAATTGTGTAAGTTCAGAAAATAAAGTTGGATGACCCCAAATAATTGTAGTTTCTTCAGATTCGATTGAGTACACTTCTCAGCCATGGGGAAAAAGATTGATTCATAATGGATAAATAAATTCACAATAGCTCAAATTCTTGAGAGGATGGAAAGCGGTAACAAAGAAGTTTAAAGGTCCTGGGGTGTGGGGGAGCCAGATGCCAAAGACTATCTTGTTCCCAAACCAGCTTCGAAAAGGGCGCCTCCGTTGCGGAGAGAGGTGGGCACGCCTGACGCTTTGGCACCTAAACACCTGCAGGCTGGGTTGAGGCGCCTTGCAGGGCCGCTTGCGGCGGTTTGTTTAGCACAGCTGACAACACACACACAAACACACACATGCAAACACACAGAGGAGCGCGCGCGCGCTCTGCTCCCCGAGGCCTTCCTGGGCTCCCCCAACTCCGGTCCATTCGTGCCTCCGCTCCGAGCTTCCAGGTTTCCCGCCCAACCGTCGCTAGCAGAGCCCGTGAGGTCAGCGACGGCGGCGCGTCGAATGAGCTGTCTGGGCTGAGAAAAAGGGGTGGCCGGTGGGCGGGTGGCTCGGGCAGGCGCAGTGTGGGGCCCTGCTGAGGGAGGGAGGGAGGCAGGGGGAGAGAGGGCGGGGCGCAGATCGAGCGCCGCCACCGTCCTCCCCTCCTCCAAAAGAGGCGTTGAGGAGGAAATATCCGCCCGCCCCTCAACTCTTGTTTGTGTGGGGCAAGAGAGGGGGCACGCCGCCTCTTAAGTCGACGCGGAGCCCTCCTTGCGGCGTTCTCGACGTCGGTGGTGGCTGCTCAGCAACCGCCACCTCAGGGGCGGGGGGGGAGGGGCTGGGTCGGGCAGCCCGTCAGTCAGCCGGGCCGTCAGTCACGTGCAACACCCTCTGAGGAAGAACCGACGCTACCTCTCCCCTTCCCCCCTCCCCGCTCCAACTTCCTGGCTCGCGGCCGGGCCTGAGGGGACCGAGAGGAGGGAGAGCAGCCCCAGGTCCTCCTCCTCCTCCTTCCCCCTCCCGTGACACTACAGACGCACATGTATGCCACACGCGGGGGCGCGCGCTCGCACACACACGCACATAGAACCCTAAACCCCCGCGCGCGCCTGTCCGTCCGCCCTGCGTTCTCGCTCGCTCGCTCAGTCTTTCCGCAGCGGCGGCAGCAGCAGCTGGAGGAGCTGTCAAAACTTCATCTCCACCGCCCTCCGCCCGCCCGGGCCGCCGCCTCCACTTCCCCCCAGGGCGGGGGAAGGGCGCCGGGCCAACGTACAAGGAAGCGACGGACTCCTCAGCCGGAGCGCCGCCGTCTCCAGCGGCTCTCGAAGGCCGCGTCTGCCACCCGCCTGCCAGCGCGCCCCAGAGGAGAAGGCGTCGGCCGTGCGCTAGGGCCTCCGCGGGCCCCCCCGGCCCCCCTCCGTCCAGCCCCGCCGGGGGTCTAATTGCGTGCGATTGAGGCGGGCCCTCCTCCTCCTCCCCATGCGGCTACCTGCGCGCTGGTCCGCCGCGGCTGAGGCCAGCAATGCGAGGCGGAGGTAGAGGAGGCGGAGGAGGAGGCGGTCGTGGTGGCCGAGGACCCGCAGGAGAAGGGGAACCGCAGCAGCAGCAGCCGCCGTGGCCGTTGGAGCAGGAGGAGCGTCGGGATCGCCCTCGTCCTCCCGCACTCTCGTCCCCGCTCGCCACCCTCCATGCTTCTCCCCCGTCCGGCTGACTAGGATGTCAACCGAGCAGCCACCGCCGACGCCGCCACTCCGCGAGTCGGGGGCTTCCCCCACGGCCGCGGCCGCCACGACAGACAAAAGACCGAGGGGCCGGCCTCGTAAAGATGGCGCTTCCCCTTTCCAGAGAGTCAGGAAGAAGTAAGTTCCGTGCTGGCGTCGCTGCGGGCCAGAGGAAGCGCGGAGGAGCGCTGTCAGCCCCGCCGGGGCGTCCGCCCTCTCCTCGGCTACTCCGGTTGCAGTGTCGTCGCCCCCCCCGGCTCTTCTGCCGCCTCCTCACCTGTGCCCTTTGCCCTGCCCCGCTTCCCCCTTCTTTTGTTTTTGTCCTTTCCTTGCCCCAGTCACAGTGCCATATTGGGAATGGCCCGTCTCAGCTTTCCCTCCTTTCCCTTCTACTTCCTTCTCTTTTTCCCCACCTTCATGTCCCCCTTGCTTTCAACTTCCATTCCCCTTTCTCTCCTTCTTTAACACTAAGAAGGCCTTTTCTATCCTTTTTTTCTCCATAACTTCTTCTTTATTTGTCACCCAATTTTAATCTAGTTCTTTCCTTTTTTTTAATTACTTCTAGCTTCACGCACCCACACATCCCCGTTTTTAAAATTCCTAATCATCTCTTTTTTTTTTTTTAAATTATTTTGAAGTGATTCTCCCAGAAGTGGATTACTTCCCTTCCACCCTTTTTGTGGTGTACATTGCAAGTCCACCAACCTTAGGCATATAATTGTGTAATGGGAAGCTCCTCCCCAGGAGCTGTCAAAAGCCACAGCAAGGGGTATGCACAACTAGCAGAGAATGGCTGGTGGAAAAACTAGGTTGTTTGGGCTTTGTTTCTGGATTCTGCCATATTTTTCTACTTGAATCCCAAGAGTTAATAGAATTCTTTAATGTGCTGAAATCAAACTTGTGTCTCATTCTTGCAACACTAGTTGATATAAGTGTGGAGCATCCTGTACTTTGTATTTGGCAGTCAATCAAGTAGTTTCGGTTTGCCAAGAAATAGAAAGTACGACTATATTTTGTATAAAGGTTCAGGACTGCTTTAATATTCCTCTATATATATTATGTTAATTTGGGCTCACATAATTCCCGGATTAATATGCTTTTTGTGTTCATTTTGGAAGAGTGCAATCTGCCAGCACCCTCTACATTATCTCCTAAGAGCAATGCTTTTCTTATGACGACTAGCAAACTTTTGAAAATAACTATTTTAGATTTTTATTCCCCTCCCCCCCAAAAATCAATGTGCTGTACTTTTTTTCAAAAGTTCATAAATGGAAAAGCTACATAGGAAATCCTATAAACCATTTTTGTACTTTTCTACATAATGTTGCTGTTTATATTGCTGTTTAATAATCTATTCAGTTCATGCGATACTGAGTAAAACAAGGTTTTATCCTCAAGCAAAATTCAGACTTAGGTATTTTTCATGTCATTTTTTTTACCTTCCCTGCTTCCAGTATATTACAAAATGTTTAGAAGACAATGTATTTTTGGTTAAGGTAGGCATCTAGTCCAGGGGTAGGCAACCGTGGCTCTTTTATGACTCGTGGACTTCAACTCCCAGAATTCTGTGCTGGCTCAGGAATTCTGGGAGTTGAAGTCCACGAGTCATAAAAGAGCCATGTTGCCTACCCCTGATCTAGTCTGTCAATTGATTTTAAAAGCACCAGAATGCCATTAAGTCTTTCTCTGTCTAGAGTTCTTCAGAATCATGGCTAGAAGTTCTGGAAACCATGGTTCCAGCAGAAATGGAGAACAGACTGGATAAACTTTTCTATAGCTGGGTATTTGACCACTAAAGTTTATAATATCTCATCTGCTAGACAGTTAAGACCATGATACAAGAGAGAAGTATCCTTCTATGACTGAAATTGCTTGTATGTATATAGTATGCATAAAAAAACTATGGAAAATGCTGTATAAGACAATTCTTCAGCAGGTCTGTATTTTAAATTAAAATGTGTATAAAATTTCATAATGCATTCATGTCGACTACATTACCATTATAATGCATATTCATAGTTTTAATTTCTTATTAAGTATTTTGCTAAAATGCTTTTCTTTTTGGATTAAATTGTATATGAAATTAGTTGTAACTTGCATTTCTCTCTTTGCATTATTAGTTGCATGTATCATATTGATCTTTTTCCTTAAGAGCTAATATTTTTTAGAAAGTGGCCATAGGTTTTCAAGTATTCCTACAACAGCAAGAATTGGAAAAACAATTGTATTTTAGTGAAAATTTAAATTCAGAACAGGTTCATAATAATTATTATATTGATAGTATCTTTTGGCAATAACAAGTTGTCTTTCCCTCTGTTTCTACCAGGTTTGCAAAATAGATCCAGATAAGGTATTTTGGCTAGTACAACATATGCATTTCTACTTGCTGTTTGAACTATTGCTTACTTTTTATGATTGCTTGCCACTCCCTTTGATAATACAGCTGTTTTTATTTGGTTCGACATGTGGGTTATACATTTTATTGAATGATACCTATCAGTGACCTTTTCATCATAAAATAAGTCCTATTGTATTCCTATTGTATCTGCTATGTATTCAAAATGGACAGTGATTAATATTTATATGTATGTATGTATGTGTATATATATATATATATATATGATGGTCTTTAGTTATTCGGGTTTTCTCCCGCGTAGAAAACCCGAATAACTAAAGACCTACATACAAACACCTGCGAAAACCTCAGAAAACAAATATGTATATGATATATATACACACACATACACACATATCTCAACAGAATTTCATTTCTAATGTGGGCCAGTATGCTCATAGTAAAAAATGACTATAAAAGTTTATCTATCTATTGAAATCAGTAAGATTATTTCCAAGATTTCCATAGTCAAGTTTTGTAAAATGCTTCAGTTGGTAGATAAATGAATGGATGTTATGCTGCTATTTGCCGTTTTAAAAATGTACTTCAGGAGGTTTGCTGCATTTGTCTACGAAAATACAAAAGCAAATAGTAGGGAACAAAGATAAGGGGAAGGAAAAAAGAGAAGTGTGGAATAGAGGAGGAAAAGGGAAAAAAAGCGTTGACTTCCGACTCCCTCTGTTGCAATAAAATAAGGTATCAACTTTTACATTTCTATAGTGGTATAAACTAGCCATTTCTGTAATAACAAATCAGTCTAATCAGTAAAATTCAAAATCAAAGTATCATGTTTTTCCACCTTAAGCACAAAGTCCAGAAGCGGTCTCCAAATAGAAACAAAAGTACTTATATTCTTTTCTTTTATCAAAACAGTCAATTTAGCCATCTCCGCTAACTCCATCAATTTTTGTAACCATTCATCCATGGTGGGAATCGAAACATCCTTCCATTTTTGTATGTAAAGTAGTCCTGCTGCCGTCAACATATATAAAATCAGAGTTCCCAATTTTGTTTCCAAGTCTTTTTACATTAGGCCCAAAAGAAAGGTTTCTGGTTTTATCTTTATATTCACTTTAAGAATTTTCTGTATTAGACTATGAATCCTACTCCAATATTTCTTTGCTTTATCACACATTCACCATAAATGATAAATAGTCCCTTCTTTACGTTTACATTTCCAATATTTCATTTGAGATACCTTTAAATACCAACGATACATCATTTTATAAAAGTTTTCTTTTACATTATAATTTAGTGTGAATTTTAAGCTTTTTGTCTACATATTCTCCCATTGTTCAGGCATCACATTATACCCAAAGTTCCTTGCCCACTGAATCATACAATGTTTTACATGTTCACTTTCCAAATTTAATTTCAATGACATTTTGTAAACCTTAGTAATAATACGTTCATCACTATCACACAGTAAATTTTCCAATTCATTTTTAACAAAATCAAACCATAACTCTTTTTATCTAGTTTAAATCCTCCTTTCATTTGTAAGTATGTAAACTAATGGCAGACATGATCTTCTGATGCTAACTCTTCCTTAGACCTGAAGGTAGGGTCACTGAAATTAAAAGATATTATTTTACCATAAGTCCACCAGTCCAGCTTCACCACCATTTCTTTTCTGAAAAAAGCTTCTTGGGGAAACACCCATGGAGGCAACTTTATAAAAAAAACCTTGTTTTGTGTTTGTATTTCTTACTTTATAGTATAAGCCAAGGTGGCCTAGCCCTGGTATAAGCTAATAAAAACACTGCAATAAAAAAATGGGCATTCCAGGTCTCATCCTGCCTCAGTGGCTGTACATAGGAAATATTCAGCAAATATTTTTGCAAAACTGCAATAAATGCTGGGTTAAGGTTAAAAAAAAAAAAGAGGTTTACAGCATTTATCTAAAACCAAAAAGGCATTAATTGGCTTTTAAAACAAAATCCCTGTTTATCCCTGACCATCAAACTTTTATCTGAATTGTGTTATATGGACCACAAACATATCACATATATTGTGTGGTTGGATGTTTGTCAGTTTTCAAGAAGATACTTGCAAGCCACTATACACCTCTTTATCTTTTTCAATCCTATCTTGTACATTAAAAGATATTGTAGAAGCTGTAGAAAATGATTTGTCCCAATATGCTAGTTCTAACTACTTAATGGCTTACAATTCAAAACCAATGTCTTTGGTTGCATTGTTAATCCCAGTGTATATGAAGAATATAGGTCTTTGGAGACATGTGATGTATAAATTATATGTTAACTCTAGTTTGTTTATATTCCATATTGTTAAATAGTTTGGCTTTCTGTCAGGAAGATTAGTTCACACCAAATAGATTTACTATCTAAGTAAAATTACAGTTTTCTACTTTTGATATGGTAAAATCATGAATGATACATGGCTTGGCTGGATCTGACAGGAATTGCAGCCTTCTTTAAAGATGAAACAATCAGAAATAGCTGCTGATTGCTGCCATTACCTCCAGATCTCATGATCCCAGGACTATTTTTTTCATTAGTGCCTGAATGATCAGGGGACGCAGAACCCATTTTGTTAGTTTCTTCTATGGTTTATGAAAGCCATATGCGATAAATAAGCAATTTTGGTAACCATGGCTATACTTTAGGATTAAAAGGGTATTAAATATATGCAGCTGTTATCTTCTAATTTCCAATTTCATATCTTAGGGATAATTATACATTTAAAATATATAAAATCTTGTTATTTCTGTATCCGTATA